GGTTTGAGTACAACCTCTCTGGAAACAGTTTCCTTGAAGAACCAGTGCTACATAGCCTAAGACTGCCCTACTTCCTTAAACCAAAAGGATCAAAACAGTCATCTGTCCATTCAGGAAGGATCCCATACTATCTACATCTAACAATCTAAAAAAATACACCCCCCACACACACTCAGATGTCTCAGCCAACAACAGATGCATGTGGTTTTTGATTATTTTTTCCCCTCTTCTTTCTGGGAGTTCAGTGAAGAAAAAAAAAAAATCCTTATCTAACTATAAAGTCAATCATGATAATGCAGAAGTTAAAAATGCAAAGTAGAGTTTACACAGACTCAAGTAAACCAAAGCATCAGAATCATCAATTTAAGCTGTGGGGAAGGTCTGAATCAGCAGGGACAAACAGCCCCAGGCTTACTCCACTCTCTGACCTGGCCCCATAAAAACCAGTCAGACCCAGAAGCCACGCTGCTACTCAGCAGCCAGACTATTCCCTGCCAATGCACCCAGGAGAGGCAGAGGGCCACACCAACACAGGTATGTGGCCTCGTGCCCACATAGCTCAGAACACAGGCAGCCCTAGCTCATGCTTACGATGCTATTCCCTGAGCCTACTGACTGAACTCGGAGGAGAGAAGTCCTGACAAGGCTGATCACGTCACCCGAACAGTGGGAATAAAAATGCCACATGCTGTCATGCAAGATCTGTGCAACAAAAAGTTGCCCAAATGAGTATTGGGAACATACAATTTAAGCCACAACCTAGTGCTTGTATTAACAATAAAAATCCCAGTAATGTACAAAGCTTGCAGGGGCACAGGTTGTATTCCTGAGGGGTCAGGGAGGTGGTAATACCAGTAAAATAGTGAACATTACCACACAGGCAAATATATCCAAGAAAATCAGCTCATCACATGCTTACAGTTGATTATGAGAAGTATCTTGGTAGTCCAAAGGTTACAAAATGCACCTTTTCATCATTTCTTTATAAGTGTTGCCTCTTGAATTGGCATAGAGCAGTACCAGCCATGACATTCAGGACAGATTCAGATTTTGGAAGTAACAGTTAAAGTCTTGCTCCAATTCCATGATGAACAAAGAGGAAAAGAAATAACTGCACCACATGACTGCACGTGCCTGTGGTCTCCGCAAATTCAGAGTGAGACCAGTGGGACAACGAAAGGTTCTTAAAGCCCCTCAAAAGCAGAAACTAAAACCTTCAGAAGATTAATTTGGATATCCTGAAATACTATTACCCTGTTTAAATATTTCTTTTAAATTGTGTAGGAAAAGGAGGTAGAAGCAGCACACATTAACGAATTAATCTGACAACTCTATATGCATAATAAACACAGTTAAAAAAACCCCTGTACTAAAGCCAGAAGAATCTACACAACATCTCCCAACACCACCACTTTTTGCCTGGAGAACTGGGGTCAAAAAAAACAACCAACCAACAAAAAAAAAAAAACCCCAAACAATTCTTTTTAAATGTAATACTACTTTCATGTTCGCGAAATTCAAGTCAGAGCTAGAAAAGTATTCCTGTTTAGCAAGACTAGGCTTTTCTGTGACTTAAAGCATTAATTTAAAACCTAATTTTCTCAACTGACCACACTGACAAGAAATGGAATCCAGTTTATCATTTTAAGCAGCACTTGAATAATTAAGAAAATGTTTCACAAAAAATTTCACTCCTCTATGCAAATATGAGTCTGAGATCTTCAAGCGTTACACAAGAGGGATAAGGGGATTTAACTGTAACAGTACACAAACCGATGGGTAAGGGAAAAGTCATCCAATGCACCTGGAA